CAGGGTCGCGGGGGAGCCGGAGTCTATCCCAGCATGCACCGGGCACAAGGCAGGGTCCACCCCGGACAGGACGCCAGTCCATCCCAGGGCACAACACACAGACACACTCACACAAGGACCAGTTTTCCCAGAAGCTCATTAACCCACCAGCATGTTTTTGGACTGGGGGGTAAACCCACATGAACACGAGGAGAACGTGCAAACTCCACACAGACAGCACCCCAGGGCCCCAGCGCTGTGAGGCAGCAATGCTCACCACTGTGCCACTGGGATCCCACTTCTAACAAAAAACAACATTGAGTCTTTCACAAGCTGAATCGGTTCACAGGACTAACAACCCATCAGCCATGAGCACGGAGTCACCCCACACAGTGAAGCCCCTTGTCTTTTCAAGGATGACTCACACGTGGGACCACATGTTTTTTTTGTACCCATGTCGCTGCATTTCATATGACCCCGCCCACCCCATCCCCCAGCCCCACCCTTCTGCCGGCGATTGCTCTTGCCTGCTGGGAGAGAACTTGAGTCTGCTGGGCTGTGAGCTGCAGGTCAAGGTAGGGGTCGTCCAGGAGGGAGTTCAGCAAGGAGGAATCCTGTGAGGAGAGCCAAGGGGAAAGGACTTTGACACCGGAGCTCTAGCGCAAGGAAAGCAGACTGTACCTCTTCTAAGAGCTGGGAAGAAGACCGGGGGAATCGTTCATCACCCCCCTGGCTCACTACCGTCGATGCAGGGACTCAAGAACAACACATAGATGGAGACACTACGGAACCCCCTTTCCTAGGAGAGAAAGATCTGTCTGCCTGTGACACCCCCCTCTCCTGCCTTCACACACACTCATAATCCCATCTGTGTGCAAAACTGCTGTGCTGGGGGGCTGTGCCTTGACCCCCGGGAGGGGGTGGCAGAGAGAAGACTGCTGACCAAGCTCACAGCCATCATGAACAACGCCTCTCATCCGCTGTCATTAGGCAGCGGAGCACTTTTAGTATCAGACTGCTCCAGCTACGGTGTTCAAGGGAACGTTTCCACAGGTCCTTCGTCCCAGCGGCTGTCAGGGTGTATAACACTGCCCTAGGCTGGGACTGTTAGCCCTTCATCTGCTCCTCTGTGGACAGCCTGTTACACTCATGTACTTTTTGGACACTGCATTAATATACTGTGGTACTATCTGTATATACCTATGCACATTTTGTACATATTTAATTGTTTTACAGTGAGTATGAGCATATTTTGCACACACCTAACTCTATATATTCTATTTTGTATTGCTGTACTTATTTTATTTGAATTGTTCGTCTATTCTGATGTCTGTTTTTGCTTGTCTTGGGCTGGGCTGCTGTAACACCTCCGTTTCCCTTCGGGATCAATAAAGTCGGATCTATCTAAAACCAGAAGAACTCTTGCAGAGATGTTTGCAAAACAAAGGCCAGACTTAATACACGACTTGCATGGACAGTGCCTTGCAAACGTATCCATCTCCTTGCGAACGGTCAGTCTCGATACTGCGAAGCAGCAGTTCATTTGTTTGGCACAATCCCGCAGACAGCACCCTAGATCCGGAACCGAACCCCGGCCCCCAAGGGCTGGCAGGCAGCAGTGCTGACCACTGCGCTACCGTCCCGCCTCGTGAAGAAAACACCCAGGTAACAGAAAAAAAAGAGGATGGATTCTGCAATTTTTGTAATTTCACAACATGGGTGGGGTCTGAATTAGAGATCTGCTACCCGACTGGAGTCCGACGGGACCCGACAAGGTATCGGGTTCGGGTCGGCTTTTCGGGTACAACTTCGGGCTCGGGCCGGGTTCTGGTTTGTTTTCTAAGAGGTGAAAATGAATTATTATTATTATTTTCTGTTTTAAATGTATTTTTATGAGAAGAAATGCGTCATTCATTTTGCGCGCTCGCTCTCTCATGTGTGTAACATGTAATAAATATCCGCGTGCTGCATGACGTTCTGACGCGGAAGGTAGCCAGTCCTGCCTGCGCGCATATTCACTTTGCTTATAGCGCTAGTTTTTTGAAGTAGGCCTACTACTACTCTACTACCTCAGCAGAGCAGAGCATCGTAAAACCGCGTCTGCGAGAATCCGCCT